GAATTAAGGTGATCTGGTGTTCAACATATCCATCCGGCAAGGAGTAAGGAATCCCTGGGACCACAGAAGCACCAACCTCAGGCCCATCGCTTTTTCTAGCATTCCAGAATACACCTCCTGCTCTTTAGGGAATTATAGCTAGACCTAGTGGTCACAGTTCTATACATACAATCAATCAATCTTGGCTTCTCTTCTTTCCTTCATTATCTGGCCTAGGCCAGGCCTGGCCACTGTCTACCACAGAAATGTATCTTTCATGACTCATAAGAGGCCCTCTATGCTGTTTCTGAAAACATATCCCATCATCCCTTACAGAAAAACAGTATTTTGATGAGGTGTTTCTGGTCTACAAAAATATAACTATACCCAAATTACAAATATATCCGATATAATAAAAGCCTAATATGCAAACCAATCAAATGGCCGAACGACTGGTTGCTATGACACGCACTGACCACCAGGGGGAAAACGCTCAATGCAGGAGCTGCCCCTCCTGGTAGGTGTGCTCCCACAGGGGGAGCACAGCTCAGCTAGAAGCCGGGCTCACACCTGGCAAGTGCAGCGGCGATGGTGGGAGCCTGTCCTGCCTCTTCAGCAGTGGCAGCAGTAAGGAGCCGTTAGCCGAGCAGTAAAGAGCAGCAAGCAGGCAGATGGTAAGGAGTGAGGGACACCCCCCAACACACACCCCAGTGCACAGATTTCATGCACCAGGCCTCTAGTTTTGACATCATTATGGAACACTTTATTTTTTGCATAGGTTTTACCTCAAAGACTCAGGGTGTTTTATTTGATCAACATGTATTTTACAGTGCATTTACTATGCACCAGGAACTGGAAAATATGAGACTTTAAAAATGAGTTTAATCTTTAAGGAACTTACTCAAATATATTAATAATAAAGTTATTTTAATAATTTAACAATTAGGTAAGATATTAGCCACATTACTCTTTTCTCGAGTAATAGATTTACTGAAATGAATCAGATGCCTTTGAGTAACACAGTGCAAAGTTCTTAAAGAAATTGAGTTAACACGAACTTGAGAGAAACTTACACAGAGCCAGCAGTTGTTTACCACACAGAATGCATTCAGAAAGGACTAGAAAATTAGTGAGATAGAAATCAAGTCTGCCAAACAGAGGCCAATGTTGCTGGAGGGAATGTCCATGGCTTGGTTTAACCAAAGTCACACCTGTAGCTTTAGGGTTCCTGGAGCTTAACTAATCTGCTTATCAAGAACACTGACTACCAACAAAATTTAAGCACTACATAGGGAGTTACTATTTTTTTTTTTTTAATAAAGCAAAATTCGAGTCAGGTATAGTCTGAAATTGGTAGCAGTTGCCAAGTGAAAATGCAGTCAGCAGCACAGCAGAATTTTAATTATTGAACTGCATATAAGTTTCTGATTTCCATAATCAGTAGATTCAACTTAGCACCACAAGCAAGAGCTGTCTTTAAGCAGGAAATCCACGCATGTCCCGAGGCAGTGCGGCCTCCTTCCCCACAGTGCCCCTGACTAGGAGTGAGAACGCAAAGCCTCGAGAGTCCATAAACACCTGAGGCCTCAAGTGTTAGCTTTAAAATTCTCTAAATTTTTGCAATGTAATGTATTTCCAAGATCATTCAAATATAATAATAACCATAATTTACTGAATATTAGCTCTGGGCAGGCCCTGTGCTAAGAATTTTACATGAATTATCTTATGTACGTCTCACAATAACATACATGGTTTCTATCCCTGTTTTAAGGGAGGGGACTTCAGCTCAGAAGCTAAGAAACTTCCTCAAGGTTATAAAATTAACAAATGGTGAAGATGGAATGTGGACCACACAAGTTTCTAGTTATTATCCTTCAATATATAATGTTATACTGTTGTAAGGCACTTTTCAGTTAGATTAGTTAATCTACCTCCTCAATCACCTACGTCCAGGACCAGCAAATATTTTCTGTAAAGGGCCACAGTAACTATTATATGTTAGGCTGTAGGGACCACATGAGGTCTCTGTTGGTCACGACAACTCAGTTCTGCCCTTCAGCGTGCCAGCAGCTCAGACGATCAGGCGGGGCTGTATTCCAGTAAAACTTTAAATACATCAACAGGCAACAGGAAGATTTGGGTGGCAGTTTGAGAACCCTTGATATAAGTAAAACTCATGTTCAGATAGTTCTGCATATCTATCCTATGGTTTTGCATAGTCTCCTATTCTTGTTTAGGAAGAACAGGTTAAAAGAACATTATTTTTAAAAAATGGGAGAAGCTAATGCCAAAGGTAAGGGAAAGGAATTTAATTTTTCTCTTCTCTCCTCTACCAACCTATCGCTAACAACAGGGACCTCATAGGACCCTCCCTCCAGTCCTTCAGCCATGCGTTCTCTGCTGCTACTGGGCGTTGGGTATCCTCAGCCTCCGGCATTCTGAGCCGGCCACAGCCGATTTCCCCATCAGCGCTGACTCCCCACTTAGGTGACTCTGCCTGACCTTCCCACCTAAGTGGACACCTACCCCTAAAGTCCAGTGACGTTTTCTTCTACATTGTTTATGGCATATCTCGATGCTTTTGCTCATGCTAGGAAAAATGTCCCACTCTCTCAGTTAATTGAGTCCAATGTCTAACTGAATAAATGCCCTACTGCTCCCTAGTTCAAAACCCCTAGTCCCTTCAGTCAACTAACTCTAAAACATCCTCTCTAGACATGCCAACTATACTTGTATATTACGGTTCAAGTGTTGCTTCACTTATTTCAAATCCTATAAAACTAATACCATAATAGAATGAGAATCATTCTTACTTAAGAGTTATTGTCATTTGATATAATTGGCCAAAGTAGTTTGATTTATAAGATTGATTTTAGATATTTAAAGTTCTGAATAATGAGAGAAAAGGGTAATGTTCTGTTTTCCATAGAACTGGAAGGTAAAGGTTATTTGGGCTTGTAACACCAGGCATAGCTTTGGATAGCAAAATCAAGAAGCTAAGGTAAAAGAAAAATCATAGGGACACTAAAATGTCCAAATACACTCAAATGTAGACAGAAAATAAAATAGAATATCAAGAGCATTATGAATTCCTGTTAAGAAAGAATGTCTGGCCGAAACCGGTTTGGCTCAATGGATAGAGCGTCAGCTTGGGGACTGAAAGGTCCTGGGTTCGATTCCGGTCAAGGGCATGTACTTTGGTTGCGGGCATATCCCCAGTGGGGGGTGTGCAAGAGGCAGCTGATCAATGACTCTCTCTCGTCGATGTTTCTGACTCTCTGTCTCTCTCCCTTCCTCTCTGTACAAAATCAATAAAATATATTTTAAAAAAAAGAAAGAAAGAAAGAATGTCTGGTTAATAAGTGCATCTCAAGTAACTCAAAGAGAATAAGACATTCAAATTACTCATGTTTTTTGCATTTTACTGAGAGCTTCACTGAGACCACTGAGGAGGAAGAGAACCGTAAAGTGCCTCGTTGAAGACAGTTTGGTTCTTTCTTATTAATGCTTAGCTGCTCCTTTCCCTTCTCTTGGCTCACAGGGCCTCACTTCTCCTTCTGCCGGTGGCAACCAGGTTTGTCCGATAACAAAGAGTCCTCTATGATTTGATTTTAAAGAAGCTTGAAAAGGTCCCCTTGCTCTTTTTTTTTTTTTCTTCTGCACCTTGAAGATGTTTGTGGTTTATTTCTCTCAAGCCTCCTAGTAACGATAAACTCCAATTTTAAAGAACTACCGTATCTCTTCTAGAAGCAAATAATATAAACAACATGTAACTTAATTTTTAAGCAGGTATTCAGAGAGGTTTCATTGCTCAAAGTAAAGAAATATGGTCACCGATGAGAACTTAATGTCTTAAAACACACAAACAAGCTTGAATTATTACATAAGTGGAGCCAATGGTACACAGTCTGTGCGCTCCCCGGAATGCACAATGCACACCCACACGGTAGAGACCCTGAGGAGGTCTGCAGAGAGGAACATGCAGATGGTCTCCTCCAAATGTGCCTGACTCCCAAAACTTTTACCCCCAACACCTGTTACCAAACGTGAGAACTATTTCATGGAAAGCAGCCAGGGGAGCTTCTGAAGAAGTAATTAATAGCATATTAAATGTAAGAGACAGTTTAAAATGTTAGCCACATCTTGATGAAATTCATATTTTTTTCTGGAAATTTTTAGTATAGTTGGCTGTATCAATTTGATACAGTTCAATATAATCCCAATGTGGTGAATACATGCATGTTGCTAAATGCTACAGTGGAACATAACAAGTTGTGACTTGGAACTATCATATTTATCAATTGAGCACTGTAAATTCACCACGGTCACAGCAGAGTCTAGCCCTGATTTTGCCATTAACTAAGAGTGTGACACTGGGCTAGAGATTGAGTCTCAGAGCTTTGATTCGCTTATATCTCAATTGGGGCTAGACTTGCCTTGTCTACCCAACTGGTCCATTTTGAGAATCAAGTGATCAAGATCAAAATCGAAACCAAGACTTTTTTCATCAAGTATTATAAAACCATTGAAAGAGTTATAAAAATATATAAAGCTAAATCTATTTCAATAGAACATCAGTTTTCTTTTTATAGAGCCACACTAAATGCTATTGTGATTTTTTCCCCCAAACTGTGCTAAATACCTCATTTTACCCTAGTCAGAAAATTTTTAGTCAGCCATTAACTATCATGTTGTATAATCAAACGTTTTTTTCCAGAAAACACATGGCAAAAACAAATAATAAAACCAGAAAGCTTTGTCTCAAGAAAAAAAGATGTATCGCCCAGTGGTGCGTGAGCAGGGACACCTACTTTGGGTTCTGCTACAAACTCACCTGTGGCATAGCAAAGGCAGCCAGCCCCTCATCCCACCGAGGGGAGACAGTAGGGCTCTATACTCTGTGAGTCCTTCCTTAAACTATTGATTCCTTTAGCATTATCCATAATGGTGAAGTGCTAGTCTCTCCCTCCCTTCAATAGCTTCCTCACGTTATGAAGAGGAAGTCGCGGTGATTTGTTTACCTGACATTTTCCAGTCCGGATGTCGTACAGGGCCACTGAACCATTGCGAGCTCCCACTGCTATCCTGTGGCTCCGCTCATAGTAGCTGACCATGTAGAACCTGAATTGAACATTTTCAAAACAACAACAGAACCAGGTTAGATGACCTGCATGTGCAAGTGGAGGGCAACACCTTTCAAATTTCAAAGCCAGCTCTGGTGCATATTTTAAAATGTGTATATCTATAGTTAGTGTATTGAGACTTTTCAAAAATGGTTCATTTTAGTAATTCCTAAAGCAATTGAAAGAAAAATGATGGGGAATGCCAGTAAGGTCTGTTAACTATTTTCAATGGAAAACAATAATAAGAAACACCCTTAAATTTTAAAATAAGAAATAAGTGACCCTTATTTGACACTACAAAAAAAAAAAAAGTATGAAACTCAGTTTTATTATTGTGACTATTATGCAAATACATCTATTTGAACAGAAATGGGGGAAAAAAGGATTATATATTCAATATAATTATGTTCTCATGGCTTATTATAGTATTAAGGAGTGAAATATACCTTCTAGCACAGAATAATAATATAAAAACTCCATAGATGTTATGCTTATTTCACATCAGTAATTTAGAATGAAATTAGAAAGTTATCCACCGGAAAAAAAGCTATCTGGCAAAGTCCCTATATTTTCCACATTTATCAGTTTGTCTAAATGACAGTTGTGGCTACAGGTAGTACGAATAACCATATTGGGTGTGATTTGGCATTGTGTAAAAATGGGATTTAGGAGGATGGTTGCAAGGTTATAAGAGGTTGATTTATTTTTATTTTTTTCTAGATTAATTTTCATGACTGAATTAAGTATAATATTTCAATTCCAGATCTTTGCTTTGTCCTAATGATTCCATGGCCATCTGGCAAAACCTGGTAAGGTAAGAATAAAAACTCTTGGAGGAGTAAATAAGGTGTGATTTTATACCGTAAGGAGTTTTGAATATACCTTCCCATTATCTAGTCCCGCTGTCTCGGTGTGAGAGTTGCCGGATGAACAAGTGTCCTGCCCTAAATATCTATGAGGCTGTTGCATCAATTCTATTACACACTCCTTGCCTTTTTTGTCTTTGGTTTCATATTACCAGAAACCACCAGTAACTTTTCTGTTATTATTTTTAAAAGCATGGGATGGGGAGGTAAAATGAATGATGAGAAAGAAACACCATCCTCTAATGCTTTCTGGAGACTGATGTAGAGTGGTTTGGAACTCTATATCATTTCAAAGAGTCTAAAAAACAAATATTCTTTCTGTTATACAGTGAAATGAAATACTCCTGAAGCTTTGGAGTTGTGGTATTTATATATATATATATATATATATATATATATATATATATATATATATATATAATATGAAGAAGTTTAATATTGAAATACAGCTCTATCTTTGGGGAGTTTTAGGAGTAGGAAAATGGTTTTAGTCAGGTTTCTACTCTCATGAGTATAAGAATAACAACTAAATTTACTTATTATAAAAAAAAGTATGCTAAAAAATGGTAACTAATTTAAGAATTTTACTGGAAGTAAGGACAGAAGCTGTTTCGCATCCCATTACTGTTCTCACCATCTGGGATAAGAACAAACCGCAGGTTGGGAAAATTTTTTAAGAAGTGAGCTCATGCACTGTTCTAATGTAGACAGTGCTTATTTCCTTACTGGATTCTAAGTGCCCATTTAGGGTGAACTGAGCTGATTCAGCTTTTTACTTGAAAAGCAGAATCAATCAGTCTGTCTACAGAATAACAAAGTTTAAGAAAAGATAAACTATCTCTGGCCCTGCCTGGTGTGGCTCAGTTGGTTGAGCATCCTCCCATGCACCAAAGGTCACCTGTTCCATTCCCAGTCAGGGCACATGCCCAGATAGTAGGTTCGATTCCTGGTTGGGGTGTGTGCATAAGGGAGGCAGTGGATCAATGTTTTTTTCTCTCTGTGTCTTCCTTCCTTTCTCTTTCTAAAATTAATAAAATATATTTTTTAAACTATCTCTGAAAATACAGACTTGTAACTCTAGACTAATTTTTTCCCATTCAGTTCAAAAGTTTAAATATTTATTTAATCTTGAATTTTTTGTATCTTATGTTATTTGAAGTTTTACTGTTTCCACAATGATTATTTTTATTGTTTTTTTATTTGAAATATTCTACTGTATATTTATTAAAGGAATATGTACTCATTGTTAAAGAGAAACCCAGACAATATAGAAAAATGAACACTTAAGAAAGTAACTCTTTACTACTAATCCCCTCCATTACCCCTGATGACCATTGGAAACACTTGGAGATTATTTCTTACCAGATTTTTTCCTCTTCATATGTATACATGCATGAATAGATTATTTAACTTTCTCTTCTAAAACTTCTTTAGTTTCTCTTTAAATTTCTCTCTTACAATCAGTAGAAATGGATTGGCCTCAATCTTTTTAGTTTTAGTATCTCTTAATGTAACCTACTATGGGCAAGCAATAATTATATTGACTCACACAAGTGAATAAAAGTGTTTTAATGTGAAGTATATTTTCTTTGTAAAATCATATTAAGAAGTTCCCAACAAAGGTCAATGGAGAAATAGTCCAGTAAATCCAGCAAGCCATATAAAACACTTTACAGTTCTAGGTCACTACCACTAAAATTCAGTAGATTTCCCATTTTTCCACCCAAGACTTACTGATTTACCCACTTACAGTACATTAGAGAAATTTACATACAAAGTCCTTTGAGTTCCTCCTTTCTACTACTATTATTATTACTACTACTATTGTACTGGTTTATTTATTTCTACTAAGAAGCCCAAATACTTGAGCCATTAAATATATGGCTTAGGCCTATGCATAGATTATTTGAGAACTTCTTCATTCTTGGTAGTGAAATATGCAGTGTAACACACTATAATTTTTTCAAAGCCATCCTTGATTCAACTGTCAGATTCACAATTACATTTAACATAGTATTTCATTCAATACCAGCCAATTGTGCATATCGAAATAGCTCAGATTTTGGGGTCAGGAGGATTTGTCTGCCTGATAAATATCTACTCACTTTTTAAAATTCAGCTAACACATCACCAAAACTCCTTTTTCTTCCTGGGCACAACTGCCAAGCCCCACCACTGAGTCTGCTTAGTCACATCACCTAGGATTCTTCTATGTCTTGGATACCCTGTTATCACAGTGTCATGGCATTTCTCTGATTTATCCCCCTTTCTCTGCCACACCTACTTTAAGACCTTTAGGGGCAGAAAATGCTACAAAATCACACACGGGAGAAGGACCTACTTAAAGCACAGGATACACAAGTAGACTGAACATAAGAGTATGAAAAGCTCATTACGAATTAAGATCCCACACTGCAACTAACCTTTAAAAAACAGTCACGCGTTGAGTTTTGGTGAATTACCAAGTAAGATGAAAAATTATCTAAAAGGCAATTGAAAGATTCCTCCTTTTTCAATTATGTATCTATGTGAGACCAGCTTTTCACCATACAATTAAACATTCAAATAACACATGGCAACAGATTAAAGACAGATGCAGATATGAAAGTCCACCTGTCTTTTATTAAGCCAGACATTAAAGAAATCTGCAAAAATGTTAAACAATGCTATTTTTCTTAGTATTTTCTTTTGTTTTGCCAAGTAGTTATTTTTCATAAAAATGTGTTTTTATAGCAATATGAACTGAGTTTATTGTTATTTGAAATGAATCAATAAATATTTTTTAAACTTCTCAACTTTAATTTCAAATACATTAAAAGTCTCTAGATACAACCTTTATAAACAAAAACTCTTTAGGATTTTAAATTTTTAATGGGTTCTGCGACCCACAACACTGAAGACTGAAAAGTACTTGGCAATCAAAAAATTGTAACTAGGGGTAGAGAGAGATACCAGCAAAATAGCAAGGACCAGCATCAGATTACAGTAGATTAAGAGGGCACAGAGGTGACAAAATGGGCAGAGTGCAGACTCCTTTTCCTGAAGGAGGGGAAATGAGAGACTGGACAGAAGAGAAAGGAGATACAAGGAAAATAAGGGTTTTAAATAAGAGATAGCAGCAAGCTTTCAGGCTGAGGAAGAGACGCCATCGAGAGCAGCTCAGTATAAAAGGGAGAGGAGGATTTTCTGAAGAGCAAAGTCCAAGAGGAGGTGGGAGAAGATGGAGTAAGGGATGCAGCCAGGAACAGGCCTGGGGCTGGGCCACACCCTGTCCTCTCATGAGATGGCACACCTCATGCGTCCCCCTGACATGTGCTTGCCAGTGCAGTGGGTGCACACCCACCCTGCGGAACCCAGAGACGGGTGGGATCTGTTCAGCAAAGCTGGCCTTCGATTTTGACTGTCAGCACAACAATGACCTAAATGTGTCGATTTGCAAAATGAAGGACAGGAGTAAGTAATTCGTAACATAAAGTCCTTTTCAGATTTGAAATTCTACAACTTATAATTCTATAAAAACCATGCAGCAAGGTCACAGCTTACGTGAAATAACTGGTGCCATTTATTACGAAGAAATTAAGGACTACACACGTGAAGCGGCATGGCTGGTCTCATTACTCATCACAGTTATTGAGTGCCTCTATTGAGTGTTCATATTTTCTAAACTAAAAATTGGGACAGAGTCCAACAAAGGATTTCTTTGGGATCTGTGGATTTATTTGACAAGTCTTTAGAAGGCATAAAAGTTAAATTACTCTTGGTTATATATCAAATAAATTGCCTTAACTTAAAAAAATAAAACGCATGAAATAAGGATCTATCTGGGAATTCTCAGGATAGAGGAAGCTCTCTACTAGTTGCTACAGGCACTGCAAGAGAAATGAATGCAAAACCCCCTTCCTCAATCTGCATAAAGGAGTTCTAAGTGACTAAAAATTACGTTTAGAGGCATATCTAACTTGTGCTATGAAAAAATCCTGAAATTTCTCTATTTCCAAATACAATCAAAATTTCCCATCAACTTACAATTTCATTAAAGAATCCCTAATCCTTTATTTGTTATGCATTATTTTACTTCGAGTCCCTCAGAACATAATAAAATAGCCTTAAAATTTAAAATTACATTATAATC